CTGGCTCATGAGCTCATGAGCTTATTTCAAAAAAAAGCTGATGCCAGTCCTGCAACAAGACGCACCTATTCACCTGCTCGATAAAACGCTTTTTGAACATGGAGCCATTGGAATGGACCAGTAGCGGAAAATGTAAGCTTGCTCGACTATATGCCCAGTCACAGCTGACTCCGGACCAAGTAACGCTAGAATCACAGTGGCTTGACCATCCATCCACCGCACAACAGTATGTCAATGTCCCATATCGAAGTCCCCGTCGGACACAGGAACGCAAATCCCTGGTCATAGGCTTGCCTGGCCGCAAAGCTGAAGTGATTGGTATAGAAATGACACTATCGAGGAGACAGGAAACTCAATATTAAAGTAAGGAACACGGTGGTCTCCGTTATTATCTCCGAAAGATGTCGAGCGCTTTTTGTTGGAGAGTCCTGACATTCTTGCCGGTAGTACCAGCCGAGAAGATGCCATGGCTTCCTTGAGCAATACATATCAAAGAGACAGCTCAAGAGTCGGTCGAAAACGGCGGGACTTTGACCAAACAATCGAAAGCGGTAGCGAGGACGAGAGCAATGAGCAAGACAACACATGGAGCAAGAAGCGCAAAACGACGAGCGATGAAATGGCGGCTCGGAAGCTCGAGTGCCCTTACCAGACTTTCAACGAGCCTCGCAAAGATTGCGGGTCCAACTTCGCAAGCTTCACAAGGCTGAGGTGAATATCACAAAATCTATACGTGAGGTCAATCAAGCCTTCTAATGTCGTTCGTTGGTTAGGGAACACCTCAAACGCAACCATGGTTTATTCAACCTCAAATGCGCCCGGTGTTCACTGGACACTTTCGATGAAGCTACCGTTCAAAATAGGAACATGTTATCCGCGGAAACTGAGAACAACAAACAGTTTCCGGAATGCCATCATCATCACCAACCTCGACACCTCGAGTCAAAGGGCCCCAAAAACTGGCCGACAAGCAATGCAAATATCAGGGGTATCAAATGTTGGGAGGTGCCGGGCACCCTCAATGGCGTCCCTATCGATGCCCTTCCGGATTGGGGTTCTGTCATAGATGCCGTCTCGGAAGGGTTTGCAAGTCGACACAATCTCAAGGTCAAACGAACGGAAGCCCAATGCATACAGCTCCTCGGCGGACACGAAGCAGAGGTAGTCGGGTGGATCTATGGTGACTTTGCATTTCGTCGCGAGACGCAAGTCCATCGCCGCAAGTTTTACGTGCTTCGCAACAGCATGTATGACATGGTATTGGGGAGGAAATTTTTGAACCTGACAAAAACATTGACTGTAAATTGTCACCGCATCTCCGAGAGAGTCCGTCCATGTATTCAACGTGGGCGACGACTCTTCCTACTTGACGACGCTCCTGACGAGTACCTTCGCTGCACTGTCAACGGTGCCAAAGCCTGTGCGTTTCCTGACACGGGTTCTGATCTGATGCTGGTATCGGGCGACTTTGCCCGGCGTCACAAATTCAAAATACGGCGCGGAAAGAAATACAGACGACACATCGAGCTCGTCAATGGGTCGGCTATTCTGACCGACGGCATGGTATTGAATGCCGAGTTGCAATTTGACGTTGCACCGGATGCCTCACAAGTATTGGATTACGACCGCTATCGCCACTTTTCGGAGCATCTTGCATCCATCACTGACAAGCGGGGTAGAGATGAGGAATCAAAAGCGAGCTTCATTTGCGACCTTCACGTAATCGAAGGCCTTCCGTGCGACATAATTCTCAGCAACGACTTTATTTTCGAAAACAACGTCTTCTCGGCATACAAGCACTTGTTTTACTCCAGGCCAGTTGTTTCTAGCTCGAGCGCGATGCTCTTAGAGCGTAGCATTCTTGTCGCGAGAAATCGGATGGAAAAGTCAAACTGGTTATCGCGCTGGCGTCGGAAACCAAACGACCGAGTGCCACAATCGAGTGAGTTAACCCCTCCGCAATCGAACTAGGCGTTTGATGGCCATTCTAACGCGGCCAAGTACCTCTTCACCATCGGTCTTGGGACGAAAGATGGTACACTGAAGAGTCGCGAAGAAACAATGCGCAGCTCCTCATCGCAACCCTGCCGGAGCCACAAAGATCTATTGCCCGTGAGATCGAGAAAGGAGACCAAATGACCTGGGACAAGGACAATCCTAGACCAGCGCCTGCAGATCCAACTCTTTCAAACGAGCCCCCTCCTCCAGACCAGATGCCCCAAGCCCCTCCGCCGGCAGTTCTTCCTTCGATGCGAGGTCAGGTAGTGGGTGGAGATTGGCGAAGCTGACATGTCATGATGAGAAAGATGCCGTGCTAGAATGGTAGAGTTGCATATGCTCACGAGAAGGATGAGGAAGTAGCACGAGGTTGGGGTTTTGGGTATTGTCAATTCATGACGCCTTTCACGGAGTTGGGTCATCATTTCAGGGGGGGGAACGAATGAGGCAGCTTTGTATCACTTATTCGCGAGTTGTTATCATCATCTGTACCTTGGGCAGCCTTTGAGAATTAATCGTAATCATGAGAGAGTAATACTGCAACACTCGTCTGCTGCGGCTGATCATGCTTGGTTGGAAGGGTGAGGAAGGTAGGTCTATTGCTGTGCTCGTTCGGATATTTCCAACACGTGATGGATGTCTCCTGCCCCGCTGCCCCTCTTCGTGTCTGGCATTAGTGCCTTCCGTGGTCGGCGGGGCCTGTTCAGGAAGCCACTACCAGCTACCAGGGCCCTTTTTCCGACGGAGCGGGCAGGAAGACCCTGGCCTGGCTTCTTCCTTCTTCATCCAGGCTACGGTGGTGTCTGGTCTGGGTCGCTGCTTCCCCGCAAGACATGGGCCGATTTCTCCAGAGTCACACTCCCGTCGGGGCCGTCTCCTCAGAAATTCTCCAGTCTTTGCCCCGAGTCTGAGCTTCAGCCTCTGACCCGTCTCCAAAACGACAACGATTCCCAAGATCATGCATCTGCCCCCATAGCAACAACACCCGCATTCACTCCGCTCCGTGCGACGACCCAGCACATCGACGCCATGCAGGACGCCAATGGCAATGGCAGTGGCAGCGGCAGCATTAACGTTGCCAGCGTCGCCAGCACTGCCAGTACCGGCACCATCACCAGTGCAGGCACAAGCATAGGCGCAGCCCCCAGTCTTCACCCTCTAATACAAACGCCAACACCTCAACTCCTCCAGCTGCCAGTTCCCCATCAGAACCAATCCACCGGCGCGGCCAATGGCTCTTCCACATCCGCCGTCCCCTCGCGCCCGGGGCCTTCCACCTCGGGCAGGCGGTTTATCCGATCGCGCGAGGGCTGTCTGACATGCAAGTGAGTCAACGGCTGCTGTCTCTTCCTGTCTCAGCCCTGCGTCCCGTGCTTTTCGTTGATGCTTTGGTCATCTCATCAAGGACTGTCGGACTATCTACTCTTGCTCCACTCAACGCACTCTGGCACACGCTGACTCCCCCAGACGCCGCAAGGTCAAGTGTGATGAACAGCGACCCAGATGCTCCCATTGCGAGCGACTCAACCTCGAGTGCAAGTGGCGTCCCCAATCCAGCATCAGCCAGCAGAGAAGGCAGATGGCTGCCGTGAGCGGCTCCGTCACCAGTCCTGTTCCTCCTTCTCCTGCCACAGATAGCTCACCCAATGCTCCTGGCTCTCTGCCGGGCCATGCCGTCGACGAGGTATTCGATTATGCAAGCTTCATGTGGGACTCCGGCGACTTTTGGCAGCAGGTCAGCCCTCTGCTGACAACAGCCAATGCTGTCATGCCCTTTCCGCCACCGGATCGAGGCTCCATGAGCGCTTCTCTGGAGTCGGCAGGCATCGATAAATTTGACAACATGGGCGGAGTCCAGCAGGAACATCAACCACTACAGCTGCTGCCACCAGCAGGCGGTAATGACGATCGTCTGTTTGACTTTTTTGCTCGCTCGAACAATCCACCATTGCTCGCTGAGGTTGAGACCCAGAAGAAGTGGCTCGCCATGCGCCACGTCGTTGTTGAGATGGCCCGTGTCTCAAGAATGGTGCGCTGTGCGATACTCGCCTTCTCTAATGTCCTCATTGTTCGCTCCGAAGGGCCATGGGCTGCTGTTCATCAGGGCCACTACGAAAGCGCCGTCGCTGAGCTTGCTGCGTTCGACATGGCCTCTCTGACCGAGCATAGCCAGTACAGAGAGCATCTGCTTACCTCCCTCTTTTTTCTGGCCTACGTCGACATTGTGGAGAGCAGGCTCGAGGCAGCTCATTTGCACCTCAAGCGAGCGTACCTTGTCTTCCGAGAAGCAAACAAAAGCGGCATCGTATCGGTTGAGAAGCAATTTTTCCTATGGTTCCGCATTCTCGACGGCCGAGCCGTGTCTGGAGGAGGTGACGGTCTTTTCTTGGCTCAAGACGACGAGTTGATGCTGTTTGACGCCTCTCCGGCAAGTTTTGAGGGTGATGGGGAGGATGGGCCGAAGGATGACCTTGTCGACGGTGATATTGAAGCTGTCCTCTTTCAAGTTCTCTACCAACCAGGCATTGTCTTTTATCAGAAGGTACAGAGCTTTATGGGCCGTATCTCCAAGATTGATCCGTGGCATCGCTCCCGAGGCACGGTGGAGGACGAAACGGAGGTCATGAACATTGCTGCTGGCATTGCAACGGACCTGCGCACATTATACGATCAGAGGCCTCCGCTCATGGATTACGCTGTTGCAGGTAAGCTCACAGAGAGACACATCTCAGCCCATCTCGCCTTCGCCATCACCAGATCTTTCCGCACCTACCTTTCCAACTACTACGCCAGCAAGGTCCATCTGCACCGTGTGGCGTACAAAACGCTGCCTCTGACTCGGGACACACTCGATGCTCTGATCAACATCCGTCAGCTGGCGCGCCAACTTGTCAACGGCCTTCCTGCGGATGATGCGTTGCCTGTCAATATGCTCTGGCCTCTGTTGATGCTGGGTGTGGAAGAGCAGGATCCGGATGAAAAGGCATGGATCAAGACGCAGATCTTGCGGATGGAGAAGGTTGCTGGGAACGCGAGGATCACGGCGCAAGTTCTCGAAGAGGTCCAGACTCGCCAAGATGCAGCCAAGATGCGAATGGATATTCGCTCGGTCATGATTGCTGTTTTTAACTCGTCGTTTGCGATTGTCTAACGGAACCTGAGCACTCTTTTGATCTGCAGCTGGGGGGTACGGCAACGAGGATGACGGGAGGCGAGGGGCCAAAGGGCCATCGGCATTGGGCGTTGTAAGGAGTTAGTTTTGCATGCGGGCCGCGTCGGCAGGCAACGACTTGAAGAGGGATATAATGTTGCCATTTATGCGAATTCACATCTGCACGGCCAGGAGCGGGCCACATCATCCGGCATCAAGAAATCCCGCGCTCGCTGCTCACGGCGCTGTACGCGTCTCATCGGGTACCATGACCGAGGATGATCGTCATTCGGACTTAGACTTGAGCCCCGCGAAGTATCATACTGATGATGGATACAATTGGCCCTACCTCAACAGGATGAACCGACAAGCTATCTGCATCACCCAGGGAGCCGACCCCTGCAGACAGAATTGGACACCCTGGTCGAGCATCAGGCCCTCGACACAAAGGCGTTCTTCGGGCATTTCAGACCAGACAGAGGCCCATCGAAATGGCAGGCTGACGCAGGGCAGCAGCCCAGCTGGCACGGCTGCCAGCGGATATGCCGCGTTCTGACGATCCAGCCACGACGTCGTCAACCATACCTAGTATCTTTTCCCCATATGTCTCCGCATCCAAGTCGTTTGCCCCAGATCGCGGAGCGCGGAGCTTCATGTCATCGGGGCTGAATCTCGTCGTCGGACGAATCCCTGCAACATGCAACGAGCTCGGGTCGGAGACGGTCGCATCGAGACCCGATTCGTGGGCCTTGACACTCACAAATCGAGTGCCGCCCCGCTGCTAACCCGTTTCTGCTAACTACCGATCGCATGTGAGGTGCGACTCCAGATTCCGGCACCATCATACGAGTTTGTTGACAGCTTTGGCTGGAGCTGTCCCATTACCCCTCCATCAACTGTCTCCCCGCAGCGAGCTCAGCATCCGGACAAACATGGCGCCCTTGTTCGCGTCGCGTGCAAGCACAGGGCGGGGAACGAGCGGGGAGGAGGGCCGCTGACAGCATTCTACAACGAGTCGCTCCGTCGGGGTCGTCGCGTCGTCGAGTCGAGTCGCGGGTCACCGACGTGGGGTGAATGAATAGACGCTGCGTCCTGTCGGACCCCTCGTGGCGAAAGAACCCCGTCAACTCGAGTCAAGTAGGAGCTTCAATATTATCGGACCTACATTACTTTACTTTTCTCTCGTCGCGACTTTTTTTCTCTGGACTTGATTCAACTTCATTCCCCAACCTTCCTGCATTTCCCCCTTGCTCTGTGTCGCTTCTTCACCCCCCCCCATCCGAGAACCTGTTTAGTGTTCCCCCTGATACCTCTCACGAGTCCGCGCACGACACCGACATAACGATGGGCTCTGTTCCGACAACGAAGAAGACGCCGCTAACGGGCGTTCACGTCCCTTGCCTCACGTGGTTCAAAGATGGCGCCGACCAGGAGATCGACTGGGAGCTCCAGCGCGAGCACCTCGAGTTCGTCATCTCTGCCGGTCTTGAGGGCGTTGTCATTGCCGGCACCAACGGCGAGGCAGTGACGCTCTCCTCCGACGAGAAGGCGCGCCTGCTTCGTCTGACCCGCGAAGTCGCCGTCCAACAGGGCCGCCCTGATCTCGTCATCACCATGGGCACCTCGGGCCACTGCACTCGGGACGTTGTTGCCGAGACCAAGATTGCCGCTGAAGCTGGCGCCGACTATCTGCTCGTGCTCGTGCCGAGCTACTTCCACTTTGCCATGGACGCCGACGCCATCTGCGCCTTCTTTGAAGAGGTAAGACTTCCTTTGTCAACGACGCTTGCGGGCGAGCGCGCGTGGGCGAGCCCGAGGCGTGTCGTGCGGCAACAGATGCACGCGCTGACGTATATCTAGCTTGCCACGGCCTCGCCCCTCCCTATCATGATCTACAACTTTCCCGGCGTCGTCGCGGGCCTCGACGTCAACTCGGACATGTTCTCTCGCCTCGGCGCTCACCCCAACATAGTCGGCTGCAAGCTCACCTGCGGCGGCATCGCCAAGGTGTCGCGCATCGCCGCCGAGTTTGCCCCGACCGACTTCTTCGCCCTCACCGGCCAGTCCGACTGGCTCGTGCCGGGCCTCAGCGTCGGCGCCACGGGCGTCGTCACGGGCGTCGCGAACCTGTACCCCCGCGTCTGCGCCGCCGTCTACGACCGCTACGTCGCCGGTGACACGGCCGAGGCCGCGCGCCTGCAGCTCGCGCTGGCCAGGGCCGAGTGGGGGTTCGCCAAGGGCGGCATCAACGGCACGAAATGGGTCGTCGCCACGCTGCGGGGGTATGGGGCTGAGAGGGCGCACTGCCGGCGGCCGTACCCGCGCTACGAGGACGCGAAGAAGCAGGCTTGGATTCGGGACGTTGTCGGCGCCTTGGCTGTCGAGGAAGAGAAGCTCGGGAAAAGGGTGATTGCGTGAATTTGATAGAGGTAGGACTGGACGCTGTAGATCAATGGCATTGCATGGAATTGGAAGTCTTGACCAGCTGCTCGTTGTAAGTGATCTACGCGGTTTAGCAAAACGATGAGTGTCTGGAAGCCGAATTGCCGCGTTTTGACAAGTCATACTGTTGGATTGAAATAGACAGTTTTATGATGTATGACTCGAGATACATCTCTATTTCGCGAAGAAGGAGTATAGATCCTTTGAGTTGGATGTCGGATCTGTAGAGCAGGCCTGGCAATGGAGACGCCCAACACAGAGCTCATCGTTTGCTAGTACCGCGTTCTGTCGACTTCATGACACGACTTGACCTGATAATTCTGACAGGATTTGCGAGATCAAGTTCTGATTCCCTAGTATGACCATTTGTTTGTTTACGAAAGTAGGAAATGCATCAAAAATGCCCATTCGCGTTGCAGCCTAGTAATGTCCAAGCGAAAGGTATAATCTGAATCATGACACAAAATCACACTCAACACATGTTCCGCGAATACACAGTTCATGTCAAAAGTCATTCTCTGTAATTAAATCAATCGGAAGATACTGCCAAAGCAGTCTATCCTGACGATCCGCAGTATCTTGTCCTCCTCCTGATGGCCGCCGCCGAAAACGACCTCCATTAAGCCCTCTCCGTGTGGTCTGTCATTCCAGCCTTGCCAACTCCCTCCTCAATGCTGACCGCATCCTCCTTGGCCAGCGGTGTCTGCACAATGCCCTGAGCCCGACGATCACCCTCGTACCCAAAGAGCACGTCCATCTGCTCGAGGGTGACACCCTTGGTTTCGGGCAAGAAGAAGTACGCCCAAAGAGTGGCGGTAAGCATCCAGCAGGCAAAGAAGAACCAGACACCAAAGTCAAGGGACTCAAAGATGTACGGAAGTGCCTTGGTGATGATGAACTGGATCATCCACTGAGTGAAGGCGGCGAAAGTTCCGGTAAGGTTGCGCAGTGCGCCGGGGAAGATTTCGGCGGACACAATCCAGGGAATACCGTTCAAACCGAAAGACCAGCTAGAAAAAGGTTAGACGATGCGACGCTGATATAGAGGGTCCAGACCACTTACAACACAGAGTAGATCATGATAGCAGCTGTAGCGGCCTTTCCACCAGCGGCGTTCGACGCAGAGAGCTCGTTGCCGGCCGCGATAATCGGCGCAGGGTTGCCAACCTTGACGTAGGCTCCGACGAACCACAGGCAGAGCGAACAGGCAAGCGAGGAGATAATCGTGGGGTTCCGACGTCCCCAAATATCGATAAGAGCTCCATAGAAGATAATCGACGCGACAGCCTTAACAAGGCCATAAATGCCGGTGTATAGAGCGACGTCCTTGATACCAATAGAGCCGAATAGCATGGGCGAGTAGTAGTTGATGGCTGCTGCTCCCGACATGTTCTGAAGCGAAAAGGAACAGAAAACCAGTAGCAGACGATTCCACATGCCCTTGCGGCTTAATTCGGCCAGGCAGCCACGGATATAGGCCCAGAAGCCAGTACCGTACTTAGCAGCAACGGCAGCTTCTTCGGAGAGACGGGTGTTGATAATAGCAACCTCTTCCTGCATGTATTGGTGGTCCATGGGGAGGTGGCGCAGGGCTACGAGAGCCTTCTCAGCTTCGGCGATACGGCCCTTCTTGAAGAGCCACAGCGGGGACTCGTGTAGGAAGAAGCCTCCAACAAGAAGGAAGCCAGCGGGGATGAGCTGAACGGCCATAGGAACGCGCCAAGCCGCGCGGCTGTTTGGGTCCATGTTTTGGTTGACGCCATAGTTTATCCAGAAGCCGACGAGGGATCCTGTCTGATATGTAACTTCGAAAAGGCCTGTGAGGATACCGCGGATCGAAGAGATGGAGAGCTCGGCGATATAGGATGGGACTGTAGCAGTGATGACGCCGCAGCCCCAGCCGGTAAGAGCACGGCCAGCATAGATATTGGCCAAGTCGGTGGTAGCGGCAACCATCGGGACAGCGCCAGCAATAAAGACAAGGTTGGCGATAATGAGCGCCCACCTACGGCCGATATACTCGGTAACTGCATCATTAATTACAGTTCGAAAGTATAGAGTAGATTAACTTACTGAAGAAGCACATCAAGGCACCACCGAGGGCACCCGCTTGGAATGCAGATGTAATGTTGGAGCTGATGCCGGACTTATTGGCGTCTGTGATGCCAAAGTCATCCTTGAAACCGGCCCGGGCAATGGTCGTGCCAATAAAGGCGGAGTCATAGCCGAAACTACAGTCGCGTCAGTACCTAGCGGTCACTGTTCAAAAGACAGCTGTCACATACAGCAACGAGCCCATGGCAATAATGGACGCCTCTGTGTACAGACGCCAATTGTAGACCTCCTTCGGCGTCGGCCGATCCTCAACAGCTTTGAGACCACCCATGGTTGCTTCGTTGACGAAAAAGCAGTTGTGGAGCTGGCGTTGATCCGCAATGCTCTGACGATGATGTCGGCAGGATATTGTCGGCTGGAGACCTCTAAGAGATGACTGTCCCGGTAGATGTCGTAGTTGCTAATGACGAGAGGAGTGAAGAGGAATCTCAAGAAGACAAGACTGGTGGTGAGGTTGTCCTGGGATACTTATCCTCCCGAACCCCACCCGAGCGCGATCATAAAGAATTGGGGAAAATCTGGGGAATAGTCAACCCACGTCGTCAATGTGTCTTGTCAGGCGAGCGGCGCGCGAGCACTGCGACGGCGACCGACAGGGGTGTTTTGAGAGGCGAGGGGGTGACAATGGGGGATGGTTGATGGATCGTGGAGCTCCGGGGAGTGAGGGGGACGTGCATCGGGCTCGTCCAAGTGGGCAAGGCGGAGGCTGATCTGGGGATAGAGTCATGCTCCATACTGCAAAGCCGATGCCGACGTCGTTGGTGGGAAGATTGTCCCACGCCCACAGGGAGGCCAAAGGCGGCAAACTTGGCATGAACCTGGTGCTGCCACGCCGCTTGACTCGGTGCCCCGGTGTTCTGAGGGCCGAACCCACCATGTGCACGACGCTGGCCCCGTCTCGTTCCCTCCTGTAAGGCGATCGGAGCCGAGAAGCGAGCCGACCGTCGCGAGCAGACGTCGCGATTGGATGAAGAGGAAGCAGGCGGCTGCAGGGCTTTTGGTCACAGCATCGGCGCCGCGCTAGCAGACGACGACGGCGGCATCTGGAATGGTGGTCTCGAAGCAGGAAGAACACATGACGGCCAAACCCCAAAGAACATGGTTTCCGCTCCTTCAAGTCAGACCATCTCTGGGGCAGATGGCGTCGCATCAACACGTGGGATGGGTTCCGAAGCTCTGGGTCGCTTCGTCACTTGGGAACGGCAAGGTTCTGGGGCGACGCGCTGCCGACCCTTTTCAGCCCCATCGGCATTGCCTGATGGTGGTTCCGCAATGAAGCAATATCATGGGGTTTCTCATGTGTCATCGATATGGTCGCCTTCTGTCGTTTCGATGATCTGTGATCGGAACCTCGACAGACGGCAATGTTGATGTCGGCTCGGCGTCATTCTTCGGGTTGTCGCGCGCGGTGTCGGATCTTACGCCGCCCTCCGTTGCTCAGAGCGTGTGGCCGTGGTTTTGGCTCGGGTCGTATGAGTCTCGTGTCATTCGGCAAGCTCGATCGTAGGCTCTCGTCTGTCAGGTCTCTTGTCAGTCAACTTTGTACACTCCATACTAACCCTGGAATGAACATCCGGCGTCTGGGCCAATGCTCTTGTTGGGCGACGGGTACAACTGGTTGATTTGACTGCCTTCGGATGATTCGCGGCTTGATGTCGAAACTTACTGTTGGCTCTAGACGGTATGAGATGCACAAAGGCATTCTGCACCGAAGATGAGAGAGATTAGAAATAGAGCTAGGTTCATTTCTATGCCTTGTGTGGGAGAAACGCGATGCAGCTTCTCTGGAGTCTTCTTTTCAGGGATGTGGTCATTCACTGCATTTTGGACCTGCTGGGGTTTGGTACAAATGCCGGGTATCGATGATGAAGGAGCATAACCATCATGTCCATCCCCTGCAATGATGGAGGCCAGGAGCGATTAGGTGATAGATCGCTGGCCACACCAAATTGTGACCACAGCAGGTGCATAACAGGCGCACTTTCCCTAGCCCATCAGATTGTAACCCACCAAACCCACGAGTGATGTCTACATAAGCCCTTCAGCTGCCTGGCCCACGATGGCTTTGCACCTTCGTTGAGCCATCCAATGCAGCCGACATTCGCTACATCATCAGGACATCAACATCCCCGAACCATCCTCAAAATCTCCTACGCATCGTTTCCGCACATCACCGTCGACAACATGGATCCTTCACCTCGTAGCACCGGCTCATACTATATCGGCACACTGGCCTTCATCAAGGCATACGCCGAAGCCAACTTTGAGTCTCCGACCTGTACCGCCAAAATGGAGCACACCCGCGAGTAGGTCATTACGGGCAACGTGGCTCGCGCATCAATATGACAGAACGCCCTACAGCACCGGACAGCCCTGAACAATCAGAGGCGGCAGACGACGACGCTGGCTGTGTGAGCGTCGGCGTACCTAGTACCAGAAGTCCGCTACGAACCACCGCGAATTCAACTACTTATCGATACTGGCGCATGCGTACGGCCGGGCCACCAGCGTATCCGGCGCCAGGTTTCTTCATGGCTCGAAGGCCGCCGTTCCATGCATGGCTGAATTATAGAGCACCCACTTCCTACGAAAGGACAAAGTTGCCAGAGAGGCCCAAGGAGAACATGAAGTTGATTGACAGCGAGAAGGCGCCCAAGGCACTGCACGTCGAGGCGCCGCCGCATTACTCCGCAGAGGAAGAAGATCCCAAGAACGAGGGTCAAGCCGCCCATGCGAAGAGTCGATCGCCTGAAACTTGAGTCGGAACAACGCAAGGCGGATGTCGGCGAGATATGACGCCCATGGTGTTCCGTCGGTTGACAAGCGGTGTTGCATTCAGTTTTCAGCTTTACTGATAAATTCCAGCGCCAGTAGCCAGTATTGTTGAACGCAGTCCTCAGGTTGCGTGTGATGTAAATGATGGATAGCAGTGCTTTTGTGGCTAATATGACGTCAGAAGCCACCCTACAGCGTAACATCTTAGCACTTATTTGGTGCATTTACAGCGGATACTCCGCTGTAAGGACATCGCTGTACTGAAAAAGCAGCACGGACTTGGGTGGATCATGCCGCCATCACGTGCTTCCGCAGCCATCGGCGGATTCCGATGCATGTGCACCACGTTGGAGGGGCGTTTTGGGTGTCGCGCAGCCTAGCGCGGGGCAGTTGGGAAAAAAACTTCGATCAAGGCGGGCAGGCGGGGTGACATGGTGATCGCGATTTTGGTAGCCTTCTTCTTTTTCTTCTTCTTCTTTTCCTCTGGTGATTTTCATCCACGTTTTTTCTGCCTCCTTGCTTCAGCCTTTCTCCCCTTCCGCGATACCCTCAACACCCTAGTTCGTACGCCTCGTGCACCACCAACACCATCAAGATGGCCGAAATCGAGAAGATCTACGTCACCTACAACGACGTACGTGTCGCCCCTTCACCCTCTCTTGTGCGACAGTGCTTATGCAGCAACCCGCATCCTGTTGAACCTCGGATATGCTTTCGATCCTCACCCCTGAACAGACAGTCCCAGCTAACACGAGAAAAACAGGTCCACAAGCTCTGCCAGGAGTCGGCTGCCGAGATCCTCGCCAACTTCAAGCCCCATCTCATGATCGCCATTGGCGGCGGCGGCTATGTCCCCGCCCGCATCCTGCGCTCCTTCCTCCGCCAGCCCGGCAGCCCCAACATCCCCATCCAGGCCATCGGCCTCTCCCTCTACGAGTCGCTGCCCGAGACCATGGCCGGCAACGAGACGCCCGGCGTGCCCGAGGTGCCTGGCACCCGCGTCACGCGCACGCAGTGGCTCGACCTGACGGCCCTCGGCGAGATGGAGAACCTCGTCGGCAAGCGCGTGCTCATCGTCGACGAGGTCGACGACACGCGCACCACGCTCGAGTACGCCGTCAAGGAGCTCGAGAAGGACGTCGAGGCCGCCCGCCAGCGCCTCGGCACCGACGAGAAGACCCAGTTCAGCATCTTCGTGCTCCACAACAAGGACAAGCAGAAGAAGGGCACCCTGCCCGCCGAGATGCTCGACAACGGCCGCTACCTCGCCGCCCGCACCGTCGGCGACGCCTGGATCAACTACCCCTGGGAGGCCGAGGACATTGACGAGCACGACCGCCAGGCCGCCAGCGCCCTCAGCAAGCAGGCGAAATAAGCTTGTGGGCTTTGTGTACACACTGGTCTCAGGGAGGATGGATTCGGAGGGTCGGGTGGAGGCGATACCATTTGGGGCGAGGAGAGTGCCTGTTATTCAGTGCGAGGCACGCCCTCTCCTGGCTAAGGTTGGCGGCGGGGCATGCATACGTTGCGTCCCCCACCGACGGACCATGAATACATGACATTCAAGGAATGACAGACAAATGGTGGACGAGCGTGGCCACCGTGCAAAATGCTTTGAAACAAGTGATTCGTTACGCTACATTGAAAGCACTCCCGTGCGCAAGACCAAAACTACTGGTCGGACGATTACTGATACACCCCCCTTAGCCCCCTACAACCCTCACACGCTGAGTCCTAGCTCCCTAATGATGATGTCTGCCGCCTTTTCGCCGACGACCAGCGCCGTGTTGTTGGTGTTGGCGCCGACGTTCATGGGCGGGATGCTCAGGTCGGCAATCTTGAGCCCCTTGGTCCCCCAGACATTCAGGTCATGGTCCACAACACCGTTCTCCTCCCGCGGCGCCATCTTGGCTGTGGCAATCGAGTGCCACGTCGTCCCGACATTCTCCCGAATCCACTGCTCGATCGCCTTGTCGTCCTCGGCCGAGTACTCGATGTCCTTGACGTCGCTGAGGGCGCTCTCGACCGCCGCGCAGGCGGCAGCAGACCCCTCGGCGAAGGCGGGGTGCCCGGCCGCGAGCTCGCCGCGGAACATGGCCGTGCGGCGCATGATCTCGCGCTGCTTCTTGTAGGCCCAGAGCTGCTTCTTCAGATCAATGTCGTGAGCATCGCTGAGGTAGCCCGGGTCAAAGTCGAGCGCGTCGGAGACTTCGGGGCCCGTGATGTGCATGTGGCCGCGGGAGTACGGGTACGCCGTGTAGGTGCCGACCGTGACGTAGCCGGCCTCGGGCACGCTCGCAGGATCGCCGAGGAAGCTTTGTTCTAGGATGAGCGAGGGGCACGGCGGAAGTGGATGAATTGTTCGCGAACTCACCATGAAACGAGGCCCATCAGCATGAGCGGCCTGTCGGGCGCATTCTTGAAGTCCTTGTTCCAGGCGTCCTGGAATTCGGGACCCAGCGCCGAGACGTCGTCGTCCGAGGGGCGCAGCTTGGACGATATGTCGATCGACTTCCAGCCAACTCGGGGGTCCTTCTTGTCGATGAGCTCCTGCCGCTTGTCTGGATTGCGCAGCATGCCGTCGATGGTCTCGTGCTCTTTCAAGCTCGAGAGGTACGGGTACAGAATCAGCTGGTGGTCTTGGTAGTCGCGGCCGACGCCCGGCAGGTCGACCTTCACATCCACGCCGGCCTTCTTCAGAATCTCAGGGTCGCCGAGGCCAGACCTTTCGAGAACAGGCGGCGTGCCGCAGGCGCCGCAGGAGACAACGACCAGCTGGCGCGCCTTGACCTGCTTCTTGGGGTGTTTCGTCGTCTCCAGCACGGCCTGGAAGTCTGGGTTCGGCGTGTACTCGACGCCCACCGCTCGCTTGTCGTCGTCGAGCAGGACACGGACGACTTTGGATTGGGTGAGAATATGGAGATTGGGGTACTTGTCATTGTCCATCTTGTCGTGGAGATAGACGCGGGCAGAATCCTGTCGCTTGCCCTCGGGGCTGACATAGCGGAGCCATCGCTCGATGCCGTTGTTGGCATCCAGCGTCTGGAGGTCCTTGATCTCGGGCCAGCCCACCTCGCCCGTGGCCTTGATGAACTCACTCTCCGAGAACTCGGAGCGGAACGTGCCGCTGGAGATGTGCACGGGCCCGCTGTCACCATGACGGCTCTTGTCGCCCGGGCCGTGATATGTTTCGAGCTTTCGAGGAGTGTAAGCTTGCTTCTTAGTTGAGCCAGACACAGAGTGGGACGTTACCTTCTTGAGGAATGGCAGTATCTCATCAGCGGACCATCCAGGACTCTTCCAGGAGTCGAAATCCGAACGCTGAGCACGCGTGTACATCATAAAGTTGATGGAGGATCCGCCGCCGAGCACACCGCCAGAAGGAACAATGACCTCGCGTCCGGCACATTGCTCCGATTTGTTGCCCTTGTAGAAAATGGCAGTCTTACTCGTAGGCAACAGGTGGTCCAGAAAGAACGCAGGGTTCTCAATATTGGATACGCCGCGGTTGTCCTGGCCACCTTCAATTACCAGAATCGACAGTTTCGGGTCGGCTTCGGCCAAGCGTCCTGCCACGACACATGCCGCAGTGCCTCCTGTAGTGAGAACTCAGAGTCAGTATGTGCGGTATCATCGACGGCGAACCAGTATTGGTGAGGACGACATGAAAAGATGCCCACGCGTACCTCCGGCAATGATGACATCGACCTCATCGATGTCATCGGCAAGCTTCGTGTAGACGCCCATTGTGAGATGATACAAGTGACAGGCTTCAAGGTAGCAATCGATTTTGCTTCAGACATGAGCCTGGATGAGACAGAAAGAGAAGAGGGAGGCCTGTTGGAGATGGCTGTGGAACTTGTTCTGGTTTAAAGCTGCTGGCGAGTCTCTACGTACGTACGCTATGCCTTGTCCTCCTCCTTTCCCCCTCCCCGCGTTGCCTATTACGAAACTAGAGGGGACCATGTGCAACGATCCCCACGCTCTGGAACCGGCTCTTGGCCGTCGAAGGGTCATCGCTTCGGCGATAACACGGCACAGCTGGAACGAGACCTGCCCCTCGCATCCGCGGGGGTTCAATAGTGTCCTGCTTATCCCCGACTTCCCCGCAATCTGGGGTAGGGGGAGGCATCTCGTTTCGAGATGCAGGGCTGGATCGACGTTGCCTCCCCTCTGTTGCTATTGGGCGACGCTAATACGGTTCGTGTCTTTGAGCTAGGCCGCCTCTGTCAAGGATATGCGGGGTTGGTGCACCCGGCGCGGTCGCTTTCCGCAGCAGGTCTGGCCTTCAGCGTGCTTTTTATTCGTTGCCTAGGTGTTTCGAGAAAGAGGCGTTGAAGGGGAGTCGTATCGCATGGTTCTGATCGAGTCCAAGAAGCCAATGTGAGGGCTCTCCATTGATCCGCGCAAGGTTCCCCTCGCCCGCTCAATCCTCGTTGGTATGAGTGAGTCGTGCCCAAAGTCCAAAGCTCATGAGTCGCTGTAGCCTGAGTCAGTGGACCCTGCAATCCGTAAACGCCGATGCTGCGACCACATTTGGGCCATGTAGGAGATTGTTTGTGTATGAAGCCGTCACAACCCGGCTGGTCGCGGCACACCTGTACCCTCGGTTGTTTCCAGAGCCGCTTGACACAGCTTGCGCGTATCTTCGAAGCATCGAGTGATGTTTGGTAATTGCCACTCTCCTGCTGCGCCCTCCCCTCTATGACCTCTCCGTTAACCTCCAGAGCGCGATGCGAGCCATTTGTGAACCAGTGTGGATAGCATAGCCATGCGCGCCCAATATTACAGGTGCGAGAAGGTCTTTTTCTGTATGATGCCATTCTGGTGTGAAGTCGAATCGCTTCATTCCCAGCAAGGGCTTGTTCTGGACCAACTTCGATAAGTGCAGCTTTCTAATGTGTGTACTGTCATTCCAGAGGCGACACAGCTCAGACAGAGGCTTCCTAGCAGACAGGCTTGCTCTCGATATTTATTTTCTTTGCAGTCACTGGCGAGTCCCGCGTCGCCAGTAGCATCCGAAGCGCGCACGCTTTTCCTCTGCCGCCCTCATCCGCTCCTCGTCATCTGATGCAGTTGTCGCTCAAGATTTGGGGATGACAGATGGCGCCAGTTCGTTCTGCTAATCTCCAGGTATCTGGGATCCAGAGAGTATCAGGCAAGATTCTCGGGTGTCTCAACCTCATAACGGGTCAGGATAAAAATATGTCACATAGAGATTGTTCCACAACAGGCAGGCGATACATGTGTGCCAAAGTCGATGAAAAAGAGCTGCCACAGGTATTTGCCTTCCTCCTGTGATATTGTACACTGGCAAGGAAACGTCGTGATACTTGGACGGCGGTGGGTCCCGG